TCTAATGCAAACATCAAAATTGAACAAATTTCACAAACCTGAAGATAATACATGATGATAATATAGAAACAGCTATATCCAATAATTACTACACTACAGAATAACCATTCCTTTATAAAACACACTGAGTCAGTAGATCCTAACTGTCCTCTATCAGTCAAACTAACTTATGACTAAGGTTTGTGGTGTGACAGATTTCATTTAGTCTTCAGCTTTCATTGTGAACAATAAGACAGGTAGGGCTGTGTGTATACTGCAGTCAATATAGGCCAATATTCACCTATACACTAGTACTACCTGTGCATTAATAGGTTTATACAACTTAAAGGTTAAGTATGACCTAAAACACCTTCTATTTTCTATTTTCTCTACTCTTAGTCTTAATAGGAAAACTTTATACACACTATTTAAGGTTTTCAAAACTTAGAAGTGTGAAATATCAAGACCATTTAAAACAAAATTAAAAAAAACATAAGCTTATCTAAATTAATTAGAATTTTTTCAACCAAAACCAGGAAAACTGTATTCCAAATGACAATAATTTCAAATAATATTTTATCAAAGTATCTTTATCTTCAATCTGTTAACAATTATTATAATCAAATTACTTCTATAGAATCCTCTATCTATCTAAATTATGGATATATTTTGATTTTGATACAGATAAAATATACCAAAAAACAATTCTTCAAATACAAGAGAGCTTCAAAAAAACAGAACAAAGCAATCTATATTTTCCTGAATAGTAGCTGATCAGAACTGTCAATAAAAAGTTAACACATTAAAGAAAATTCCTTCAACCACTTTTCAAGTTATTGATATTTGGTGGTTGTTATTTATGATAATTGAGAATCGATAAATTGATTTATAAACACACCATGATATACATTACTATTCAGTTAATACTGTACTAGTAACCCCAATCTAAACCATTCCAATTATACTGGAATTTTATTTTCATGTTATATTCTATTTAGATGCTATCTTAAAGGCAGTATTCATGTTAATGTTACACCACTATCATTTTAACTATTAAAATTTCACATGATGTCCTTTTATCATCAGTATACTTGATGCTAACATTCAACTGACGCATTGCATAAGCAATATAAAACATAAAATTAATGGTGCATTATATAATCAACATGTTTTCAAAGCATTTATTATGGGAAAATATAAATCACAGATTGAACATTAAGAATTAAAGACTGCTTAAGAGAGCTATTAAAGCACTAAAAAAAAGTCCAATTTTGATGGAAACTGACTATATGAAAAGATAATTATATATTGTATATGCTGTAAGCAACAATATATTAAATTTTTCACAATATTTTTCACTAATCATTTTGGCATTTAACGCAAAGTTTTAGATAAAACATATCCTTAAATGCAAGAGATTGAAATTTGGAAAATTTCACATATTTGTAATCAAAATATAGATTAATCTATGACAAATTTAAAACACTTGAATAAGTACATATATATCAATCTGTTTGAAAGAATCTAAACATGTAAAGTAAACTTGAGGACAGGGTCAAGTAAATGTTATAAACGTGCTAGATAAAAGACAAGGTTTA